ATAAATAATATATATATATATATATATATATATATATATATATGGCAAATACAAATGGCATGGCCATTTGTAAATTGTATGGGTCTAGCTTCCGGTCTCATCCACGTCCAGCTATTTTTACCACTTGTTTTGTTGCTTGATATTGCAAATTAGTGTGTCTTACCATATTATTTTAGTGTATCATCTTAATTATGAACACACTGATTTGTATTGCAAACAGTTTTACCGTTTACTGCACGTTGTTATTCTTCTCGTTATTTCTCTAATGAACCAGAAGTCTCACCCATAGGCTTACTTCCGTGTTTAGGAATAAAGTAGAAATCAAATTATTTAATTTACATGTGTCATGTTTGTGATTTTTATTCATGTAAGCTATAGCATCTGACCTTTAAATCAAAGCATACTCGGGATTTTATGACACTGATTGCTGCTTTATTAATCCGAATTACAATCAGAATCACAACCTTAATGTTATTTCTGTATGTTACTTTCATTTTATTACAAGTAAGCCAACAGCGCCCCCTAAGTAAATATAACGCCACACTGCTGACGTGATGTTATCACTATCACACCCTGAGCACATGTGAGCTATTAGTTTTATCGGGCCCATGCCGATGTTTACATTTTAAGTCATTATCGGCCGATTCCGATATCGTTCCGATAATATCGTGCATCCCTAGTATGGCGTAAATACTATGGAGGTGAATGGTACCGTCAACTTCTTTTTTTTCACAAAATAGGTGAATAAATAATAAATGACAGAGTTCTCATTTTTGGCTGAACTATTCCTTTAATAAGTCACCAACACATTAGATGTTCATATGGAATAAACTCACAAACACTGATATAACAGCAAGGAGTGCAGATCGGTGAAACCGAGCCGGAAAGACAATGGTTTAATAAGCAATTAAATTCAAACAAACAGCAAATGTTTTAAGGAAATGACTTAACACATTGCAATGTGAAGTGCTTGTTATTTTTCTCACAGAGAGATGCTTTTTTGGGGCACGTTTTGTCGCGGTAATTGATGTGAAATGGTGTGTACTTCATCAGGAGTGTGCGCTCGAGTCAGGGAGGGAAATAAAAAGTTAATTAAGCAGCTCCTGGATGTAATGAAAAACATGTGTGCACAGATGGCTGGGAGGACAAATTATCACCAGAAATTATCAAAACAAATGAGTTTTCCACGCTCTTTCAGGGCTATTTATATTTTTAGATGCTCAGTGAAAGAAGCTGAATGGTTGGAACACACAAAGCGAGGAGTGATTTGAGCTGTTTTTCTGTCGCTCTTTCTCTCAGACTCCATATATTAACTCTGATCTGAAGGGCAGCACTGAAGGATTCTCAGCTCAGCTCAATGGACAAACTTCATCTGAAGAGTCGTCCATCCATCGTTCTATTGCTACATCCATCCTTCCATCATTCGATCTATCATCCTATTGTTCTATCCATCCATCCATCCGATTCAGTTATATTCTCAATATTATCTATTTGTTTCATGTTAAAAAGATAAAATAGAGATGAAGGTATTCTTCAGTGGCATTTTTTCCTATTTCCCCCCCCACTCCTGATATGGCATGGTGGGCCAAATCAAAGGGCATCAGGGGCCAACTTTGTCTCACCGGACCTTGTTTGGGCATCTCTGATCTAGATCATTTAAATCTTTGCTAAACAATATTTAACTCTCATATGGCTCTTAAATAGTCAATAAGAAACCACACATTTAGTCATTAACTTTCTGAGAACAAATGTGTGATTATGTGACTGTATGTGATGTTGTGTGTGTGTGTAGGGTCGGTACGTGACTCAAATCGACCTGCTGAAGCCGGTATCGGGCGGTTTGGGCTTCAGTGTTGTTGGCTTGTGTAGTGAGAACCGTGGAGAACTTGGCATCTTCATTCAGGAGATACAGGCTGGAAGTGTGGCATACAGGTCAGAACACACACACACACACACACACACACACACACACTCATCCAGTCAGATGATCAGTGATTTGTACACACCACTCCTCTAGTTCGTTCCCATTTTAAAAATAAAGATTACTCATATTTTAAAGATCTGCTGCAATTCTCATTTCTTCCCTTCTAATCACAAATGTGTCACCAGTTCATGTCACGTCAGCATTTTTCTGCTCAAAGTCACTGCTGAAGCTAGTTTGCTGACATGTTGGTGCATTTTATCACTTTGGTGTCTCTTTGTGAGAGCAAATTTCTGCCTGCTTGTTATGTGCTCAATACAAATATAGATATATCTTACACTGTACTACAAAAACGGTGTTGCATAATCATTCTTAGTTCAGCCATTAGGTCATCATTCACATTGTCATTTGTTTATTTTTTGTAAATTTGTCCTTTCCTTGTGAAAAAGAATTACACTGTAGCAGACTTTTAAAAAGAGCAATTATTAGGAAAATATACTTATACGAATGCACTTAAGTGTGAACCGAATGTAATGTTTTCAGACACTTATTTGCATGTTAATTACAAACAAATGAAACTAGTACTTTACAGGACTTCTTTAAAGAACATTAAACATCTTTCTGTTCAAAAACTTTTAAATGGTAGTGTGTTATCTGCAAGCTTGAAACTCATCACATTCTTTGCTCTGTAGTGATTGTGAGCTGATCTCAGAACAGATTTGGTTGTTAAACATATGTTTCTCTATTCTAGTGATGGAAAGCTAAAGGAAGGAGATCAGATACTGGCGATTAACGGTCAGCTGTTAGATCAGAGCGTCAGTCACCAGCAGGCCATCGTTCTCCTGCAGCAAGCGTCAGACTGCGTGAGCCTCACTGTCGCCCGTGGGCCTGTCCCGCAGCTCTCCAGCCCAGTCGTGTCCAGGACTCCCAGTGCTGCTAGCACACTTTCAGCACACTCCAGTGCGGTGAGACACAGCACACACACACTCTCTCTCTCACACACACACACACACACACTCTCTCTCTCTCACACACACACACACACACACACACACACACACACACACACAGGTTTGTTTTTATGGTTTATGGGGACTCTGAATTTTCAGCATCATTACTCCAGTAATCAGAAAGCATTCTAATATGCTAATAACATTGATAATAATCAGAAATGTTTCTTGAGCAGCAACTCAGCATATTATAATTATTTCTGAAGATCATGTGACACTGAAGACTGGAGGAATGATGCTGAAAATACAGCTGCGCATCACAGAAATAAATGACATTTTAGCATATATTCATGTAGAAAACAGTTATTTTAAACGGTAACAATATTTCACAACTTTACTGTTTTTACTGCATTTTTAATCAAATAAATGCAGGCTTGGTGAGCAGAAGAGACTTCTTTCAAACACATTCACAATTAAAATAATTGGTCCAACCCAGCAGTGTCTGCTTCTATTCATGGTAAATAAGGGAAACATTCGATTACATTTTTTGGAAGGTTACACCACTTGAATGACAAAAGTTGTGTTGAAAGTGGTATAAACGTTCTGTTTCATGTCTCCTAAGCACCAAGGGATGGCTAAGCCTGTGAATATTCCTGCTGCGCTTAGTGGGGAGCGAGACATAATAGAGATGTGACACAGCCCCTTTATAAAAGGATACGGCCCCCTGCTGTTTTCCTTTTGGGATCGGAGATCTTGCAGTTTGTTTGAACTCCAAAGTTATTTTTTCTTACATCTGTGAACAGTATAAAGCACTCAAAGATGTTAAAAGTAAAAAACAATGATAGTCTGTATTTAAAAAGTCACTGATTTGATCAATGATTTCATCCCTACAAAACTATTGTGGCTGCACTAAATGGCCGCTGAGACTGGCTCTGTGGTGTACATTTTGCAGTTCAGACTACACTGAGTAGCACCATCAACTAGTATGGAAACACGGGAGGTGATCTGTAGTGCCTGTGTGATACTTGATAGTCTTCATTCGTGTCCGCTGGTGTGTCATTCCATCAGGAGCGTAACTGTGTCGTGAGCCACTCCTAAAGGAGTCTCTCTCACAGATGTCTTTGCAGCAGCAATGCGTTCGTCTGCCTTCATGTGGGTGAGTTGCCTTCAGGACACTATTGATATTGGTCATCCACTGGCTTAGACGATCAGGAGCCACGAATTAGGACTTGAGTGATGAATACAACAGTCAACTGACTGGCATGTTATGGTCACTTGAACAACATGTATTATTGTGAGATGTTTTACAAAGAGGGAGAACAGGGCTGGCTGCGTCACATCTCTTTTGTTAGCGTTGTATTTTGATCCCAGCTAACAAGGAACATTCTCAGAACGTTCTCTCAAAGTTAGCAACAAATGTTCCTCCAGCAATGTTAATAGAACGTTCATTTCTAAATGTTACTACTTGTTTCGGAATGTTCAGAGAACATTCGAAAGTAACATTCTCATAATGTTGCAAAATTGTAAAACAGAATGTTCCCCTAACGTTTTAAGCGTTTTAAAAACAACTGCATGTTTTGAATGTTCAGGGAGCGTTCAGAAATAATGTTTTCATAACTTAATGGGAACTTTATCTAAATGTTCCTAGAACATATTTTGTTAGCTGGGTACGTGCAGCAGCAACATCCACAGGATTTATGCCAATCTGATGGTTAGCTGGCAATAATAGAATCACTGTTACATTTCTAACCGCTATGAATGCAAAAATCATGAACTTGCATTTTAACATGCTTTTTAAACAATTAAAAATTTTTTGCTGACCCCCTTTATTGTGTGCTTGTGCCATTATAGACCCACTGGACTCACGTGGAGACGATCGAGCTGGTGAACGATGGAACCGGTTTGGGCTTCGGGATTGTTGGCGGTAAAACCACCGGCGTTATCGTCAAAACCATTCTACCTGGAGGCATCGCTGACCAGGTAAGTTCACTTTTGACCTTTCTATGCACTGTTACGACCAATGTGTCTCTGTCTGTCTGTATGCCCTATCTAAATGTTCCTAGAACATATTTTGTTAGCTGGGTACGTGCAGCAGCAACATCCACAGGATTTATGCCAATCTGATGGTTAGCTGGCAATAATAGAATCACTGTTACATTTCTAACCGCTATGAATGCAAAAATCATGAACTTGCATTTTAACATGCTTTTTAAACAATTAAAAATTTTTTGCTGACCCCCTTTATTGTGTGCTTGTGCCATTATAGACCCACTGGACTCACGTGGAGACGATCGAGCTGGTGAACGATGGAACCGGTTTGGGCTTCGGGATTGTTGGCGGTAAAACCACCGGCGTTATCGTCAAAACCATTCTACCTGGAGGCATCGCTGACCAGGTAAGTTCACTTTTGACCTTTCTATGCACTGTTACGACCAATGTGTCTCTGTCTGTCTGTATGCCCCTCTCTCTGACCTGCTCTCCACTGCACAACCTTAAACTCTGCTTTCTTTTCGAGCAATTGAAGAAAGGCAAGAAAAATAGTAGGGCTGTCAAGTTAATTTGGTCATCTTGCTTTGCAAACAGTTACTGACAAACATGAAGCAGGATGACTGACTGTGTGATGTAGCCTATAAATGCAATTATATCCCCCTAAAATTCAAGATATGAGAGTAAAAAATGCCCCTGTATGGGTTTTTGTCTTATATTTATACCACATGATATAGTTTAGCAATATCACACAAGCAAGAGTGCTGTTTTCCTGAATATCTGCACAATTGTTCTCTCTGACCTGCTCTCCACTGCACAACCTTAAACTCTGCTTTCTTTTCGAGCAATTGAAGAAAGGCAAGAAAAATAGTAGGGCTGTCAAGTTCATTTGGTCATCTTGCTTTGCAAACAGTTACTGACAAACATGAAGCAGGATGACTGACTGTGTGATGTAGCCTATAAATGCAATTATATCCCCCTAAAATTCAAGATATGAGAGTAAAAAATGCCCCTGTATGGGTTTTTGTCTTATATTTATACCACATGATATAGTTTAGCAATATCACACAAGCAAGAGTGCTGTTTTCCTGAATATCTGCACAATTGCAAATGTGATATTGATTTTATGGAATGGTTCAATAAAGAAGATGTTAGTAATGTGTTACGTTTTAGATACAATATTGTCAGTATTGCTTGTTTGTTTATATATATATTTATATTTTTTGCTCAATTTCGCCAAAGAAAATTGCTCCAAACAAAGCCAGCACCAGAATTGTTTCGCGTCTCTGAGCAAAACACCGCACTGTTTTGTTACTGAATGAATCCACATTTTTTAAACAGAGTGAGCGAATGATTCAGTGACTCGTTCATAAAGACTAGTTTCTGAATGAATCACCAATTTGAATGAATTGGTTGAATGACTCACTCACTCATTAAGACTGGCGGTTTTTGTTTCATATTTAGAGTATAATTTCCTTTTTTTATATTCATTTCATATTTCAATATTCAATTAACAAAACATTAATACCCAATTGCTATCATTATTTATGCAATGCTGAATCAAAATGTTTCTTTCTAAAGCTACTTTTTGTAATGTCTATTCAATGCTTTTCTCATTTAACATGACTTCAAATGATATTTTGTGGGGTAATTTCTCAGTCAAAATTGATGTGCATTTAATTTGTGATTAATTAGTGTAGTTAATCTGCATATCATCTAATTAATTTGAATTTTAAAAAAATAATCACTTGACAGTCCTAAAAAAACAAAACTGAAGTCAACAATGATTGTCTAATAACCCTGTGAGGGGTCCAGAATAAAACATTGAAGAATGTCATAAAATCTGTTTATGAAAAATGCAGAAGTTCACCGTCTCTCTCACTGGTTCTAGGACGGTCGCTTGCGAAGTGGGGATCACGTCCTGCGGATCGGTGATACGGACCTATTTGGTCTGAGCAGTGAGCAGGTTGCTCAAGTTTTGAAACAATGTGGAAACCGAGTCCGACTCCTCATCAGCCGCGGGACGGTGGATGATGCTACGCCCGCTGCTGTCGCCCTGCCGACCGTCACTGAGCAACAGGTTCAGCTGCACATGTGCCAACATTGCTGTATACTACATACTGTATTTTGCTCTTTTGAGATTGACTGCTGTCTTAAATGAACAGTTCACCCAAAAATGAAAATGTGCTGAAAATGTACACACCCTCAGGTCATCCAAGATGTAGATGAGTTTGTTTCTTCGTCAGGTTTGGAGAAATGTAGCATTGCATCACTGTCTCAGCAATGGATGCTCTGCAGTGAATGGGTGCCGTCAGAATGAGAGTCCAAACATCTGATAAAAACATCACAATAATACACAAGAAATCCATTCCACTCCAGTCCATCAGTTAATGTCTTGAGAAGAGAAAAGCTGCGTGTTTGTAAGAAACGAATCGGTAACACTTTACAATAAGGTTCATTAGTTAACTACATTAGTTAACATGAACTAATAATGAACTGCACTTATACAGTGTTTATTAATCTTTGTTAATGTTAATTTCAACATTTACTAACACATTATTAAAATCTTGTTAACATTAGTTAATGCACTGTGAACTAACATGAACTAACAAACTAACATCTGTATTTTTATTAACTAACGTTAGTGAATAGTAAATACAGTAACAAATGTATTGCTCATGGTTAGTTCATGTTAGTTTATACATTAACTAATGTTTAACTAATTAACCTTATTGTAAAGTGTTACCAACGAATCCATCCTTAAGACATTTTTAACTTAAATATGAAAAAGCTAAAATGTGAGTCCATTATACTACATAACGCTTTCTCCAGTGAAAAAGTCCATCTCCTGTTGTCTCTCACATCAAAATCCACACACATATTTGTTTAGAGCTGTTTTGGACTGTTTTGGCGTGTAAACGGTGCAGATTTCTCTTCTGATTTAGACCAGACCACTTTTACAGCATTTTCAGCAAATTTCAGCAAACTATTCCTGTAACAAAAGTGGTAGTCAATTCCAAAGCTACCAAGTATTTACTCTCTCTCTCTCTCTCTCTCTCTGGATGTTACCCTGGAGCACAAAAGCAGTGTTAAGTCGCTGGGGGATATTTGTAGCAATAGCCAACAATACATTGTATGGGTCAAAATTATAAATTTTTCTTTTATGCCAAAAATCATTAGGATATAAAGTAAAGATCATGTTCCATGAAGATATTTTGTAAATTTCCTACCGTAAATATATCAAAACTTAATTTTTGATTTGTAATATGCATTGCTGAGGACTTCATTTGGACAACTTTAAAGATGATTTTCTCAATATTTAGAATTTTTTGCACCCTCAGATTCCAGATTTTCAAATAGTTGTATCTCAGCTAAATATTGTCCTATCCTAACAAACCATACATCACTGGAAAACTTATTTATTCAGCTTTCAGATGAAATTTCAAAAATATTGACCCTTATGACTGGTTTTGTGGTCCAGGGGCACATATATATGAGCAATATCGCACTCGTAGCCGTGAGATATGGCTGTATATCGGCACCATAGGTAATCACAGTGTGCCGATATACAGCCATATCTCACGGCTACGAGTATGATATTGCATTTATACAACAGCTCGATGGCACGAGTGTGTAAATACATAAGAAACAACAATGGAGTGTCTTTAAAAGCCCACTTTTGTGCAGAACTACTTCCTTTCGCCATGGATTCTCATGTCTCTTGTTGCCATCTAACGGCGGAACAATGTAACTAAAATCACCATCATGAACACACACACTGTTTCCCAATACTAAATACTACTATTATTTGTATAAAATATTATTTATTGAATGATAATATTTAATAAACAACAATAACAGCCATCATAAAAGTTGCTAGGCAATTCAGTCAAACGTACAAAGGCAGCGCTCTGATATAGGCTACAGCATTGAAGTTACATAAAATATTATGTGATGAGATTTTGCCCTCAGCCAATAGCAAATGTGTTCTGGAACAAATAATAGATTAATGAAAGTGAAGTGACGTGTGGCGTCCCATACTCAGAATTTGTGCTCTGCATTTAAGCCATCCAAGTGCACACACACACAGTAGTGAACACACATACACCCGGAGCAGTGGGCAGCGGGACCCAGGGAGCAGTTGGGGGTTTGGTGCCTTGCTCAAGGGTCTCACCTCAGTCGTGGTATTGAAGGTGGAGAGAGCACTTGTTATTCACTTCCCCCTTCTACAATTCTTGCCAGACCTGAGACTTGAACACACGACTTTCGGGTTACAAGTCCGACTCTCTATCCATTAGGCCACGACTGCCCCAAAGACTGCCCATTAGATTTACCCAAAACAAGTTATATCTCATGTTTAGCCACTCTAGAGACATCAGAGCCGGCGGTAAATTCCAGAAGATCTGGCTGAGGTGAGGCGCTCTCTCCGCGGGTTCATGAGCGCAGAATGGCCGCTGAGGTCCTGGAGCTCACATCTCTGAAAACGTCGAAGCAGATTTTCAAATAGATGTTATCTTTATTAACAGACCACATATTTTAAGTCTAAACAACTACATTCTCACCTAAAAACTCTTAAAACTACATTCCGTGAGACAAAAACAGTATTATTTTAAAAATTACAGTGGATTTGGGCGTCCGCCATGACACTCGCTGTGAGAAATACGGCAAGCGGAGTGATACAAGCAGTGAAATGGTTGGAGTTACGATATCACTTGAATATCAGACTCTTATCAGCCAATCAGATTTGAGGACCAGAAAGAACTGTTGTCTCAATATGGATATCATATTAATTTCTTCTTTTTTTATCAGAGTAGCAAAATTGAATAAATATAAGAGTACATTTCCATTCATTTATCTACTTTGGTTTGAATGGATGTTGCAATTTTTGCCATGTCCAATATGGATATCATATTAATTTCTTTTTTTTTTATCAGAGTAGCAAAATTTTATAAATATAAGAGTACATTTCCATTCATTTATCTACTTTGGTTTGAATGGATGTTGCAATTTTTGCCATGTCTTCCTATGCACCAATTCTAAAATGAAAACTGGCAATTTATTAGGAAATATTGCAGGTGTTTCTTAATATTGCCTTTCTCTAATAACATTAAATGTTTTCTTGAGAATATTGTTTTAATTACTAATCATTGTATTAAGTCCTCAATATCTCTTTTCATTCTGTTAATCTTTTCTCTGTAACTAACGAAAGCCTGAGGCCAGTGTAACAAACCCATTAAGCTAGTAAAAATAATTACAAGGGAATGTTTTCTTACCCTAATGAGTTTGTTGCAACTGGCTGCTGATCTTTAACCACATCATCCTGCAGGAAGAGACGGTTTTTGGTAGGAAAACAACAGCGCTTGAGAATTAGCAATTGATATGATGAATTATGTTTTGTGGTATTAGCTTGTTTCAAACCATATTTAAAAAGATGCTAATGTTCTTGTTGTTGTTGTTGTGTAATAATCTGTGTTTGTGTCTGCTGTCAGGGTGTTGAGGAAGAGGAACAGGGTGCTTTCGATGTGAGCTTGACGAAGAACGCTCAGGGTCTAGGCATCACCATCGCAGGGTATGTGGGAGACAAAACATCAGGTGAGCTGTATATCAGACAGTAAATTATATTAATAAACAGAACTGATGTGCAAACTGAACAGACAAATGAATATTACCGTATTGGCCCGAATATAAGACGACCCTGATTATAAGACGACCCCCCTTTTTCCAGATGTACCTTTTGGAAAAAGGCTTTTTAAAAACCAAATCTTGTTTTTTTCTCAGTAAAACACACTTTGTCTTCAATTATTTTCATATTGCATATTTTTCCTATTTTAATTTTTGTTTTGAAAGTATGGTAAAAACTGGTAAAATGTACCAACAATCACATTTAAAAAATATACACTTTTTGATATACCATTAAAAAACAAAAAACGGTAGCCCACCTGAATTAGAACATTTAGGCTATCCGTCTAATAGTAGCCTACCAAAATCTTATTAACAGTAGAAGTTCAATCTTACTGTAGTCTTCAAATCTGGGTACTGTCTTACGTTTTAAAATCACAAAGAGTTTGGTCCCATCAGGCTAACGTGACAGTCACGACTCATGCAGCTGTAAGCTTTTCTTTCTCTTTTGTTTTTACTCGCGATCTTTACAACACGCATTACATTACTGTATTTCACGGTACACTCGTTGTATGTGTATTTGGCGCCACCTATTGTTGTGGGTGTATTATTGACATGTCAAAGTCTAGACCCTGAATATAAGACGACCGCGTTTTTTCAGATTTATATTATATCGTCTTATATTTGGGGCAATACGGTATATAGTTTTATTAATGGCGTTTCTGAAGGCAAGCATCACTATAATTATACCCAATCCTAAATCTTAAACTTCAGCATTTAATGTTTGTGCTGGACATGAATGATACCTCAGATGCGGCTTGTTGAATATTCGTGTAGTTTTATGATTTGCTGCATATCGATGTGACGCAAAATCTGTCTGAAAGGTGTGTTGTATAAATAAAGTTTGCTTCATTTTAGTGTATAGTGAAAAAGAGTACTTATTACGGAGATAATACTTTAAACTAGATGAAAAATCTTCAAGACACAATTAGTTTGCTTGAGAAAGCCTAGCTAGAAAGTTTGAAATAGTTGTAAAAGCTTGAAGTTTGAAACAGTTTTAAAGATGAAATAGATAGATAGGTAGATAGCTAGCTAACATATTTTAGCATTATTAGCTTGTTGCTAGCACATTGTTAGCATGATTAGCATGTTGTTAGCATGACTAACATGTTGCTAGCATGATTAGCATGTTGGTGATGTTTCTAACATGATTAGCATTGCTAACATGATTAACATGTTTCTAACATGTTGTTAGCCTGTTAATAGCATGATTAGCATGTTACTAGCATGAGTTGCATTTTTAGCATAATATTAGCATGTTTTCTAACATGATTACCATATTGCTAGAAGGTTGCTAGTATGTTTATAACATTAGCATGTTGTAACCCTGATGTGAACATGTTGCTATCATGTCTTTAACAGGCTTAGCGTGTTGTTAACATGATTAACATGCTTCTAACATGTTGCTAGCTTGCTGATAGCATGATTAGCATGTTTTGCTGTCATGATTAGCATTTTTAGCATAATGTTAGCATGTTGCTAACATGTTTCTAACATGATTTGCGTGTTTTTAGCATGTTGCTACCATGATCATTTTTCTCACATAATTAGCATGTTGTTAGCATTAACATAATTAGCGTGTTTTAGCACATTTTTAGCATGATTTTACACATTGCTATAATGTTTTAGCATGATTTAGTGCATTTCTAACATGTTTAATATATAACATAAATAATGTTTCTGTCCCTGAAGCTTGTTGTTTACTGTTTCTCTTTCTCACTCTGGGCAGATTCCATCTGAACGTGTATTCTCATTCTAGAGTGCCTTATTTTAGGCAGCGTTTAAACTTTGCTGACTGTAATTTCCTACTGCAGAGCCCTCTGGGATATTTGTGAAGAGCATTTCGAGGGACAGCGCGGTGGAGCAAGACGGCCGAATTCATGTTGGAGATCAGATCATATCTGTGAGTTATTTCACAAAGAACGTGTCAGATGAAAATCTTGTTTATGCATGTTTTGTGTTGCAGTGCTCATCAGAATCAAAAGGTGTCTATGCTGACAGGTGTTTCTGTTATTGTGCATGTGTAGTGTATGTTATGGGTTCTGCAAAATAACAGTAAGAGAAGAGACATTTAAGAAATTAAATATATTGGTAAAGTTATATCACAAAGTGGTTATTTTTTATCTGAATTTCAACAAAAGAAGACAGATACTGTGATCGTTGATGTTTCCCCATCAACTCGCTACTCATTTACATAAAGTTCAACTTTTCTCAGTCATTTTTGCAACATATCAATTGACGATATTGAACGTTTATTTTTTCGTTGCCCTTTTTCTATTTAATTTTGGATTGATTTTACAATGGACGTGATAATAAAACTAAAAATTTAGAATCTTATGACATTTTTTCTGAAGAAAAAAAGTTATAATCTCTATAATTTCTCATCTCACAATGCACTCTAAAATCCTTTCAAACATGAGAACACAGAACTAGAAATGCATAAAAACATAGAAACTGTAAAGTTTTTCAAATGTATGTAACTGCCCAAATATTATATAGTATTTTTTTTATTACAATATCTGCACTTTATATTTTGGTTGTTGTTCTTTAATAACATATTCTGAAATGTACTACAATACTTTATATTTTTGCCTATATTTTCCTGGCAATTAAAATCCATATCAAAAACGTGATAGAACAAAAAAATAATAATAATAATTCCTAGTCATCAAAATGAATGGCATCCCATCACTTTGTTCCTGAAAATCCCCCCATATATATACGGTATATATATTGATCTATGAGACTTGGATGGTCAAGGGTCGTATATGTGTCCCTGCAGCGCAAAAGCAGTGTTGAGTCGCTGGGGGATATTCGTAGCAATAGCCAACAATACATTGTATGGGTCAAAATTATACATTTTTCTTTTATGCCAAAAATCATTAGGATATTAAGTAAAGTATATATATTGATCTGTGAGACTTGGATGGTCAAGGGTCGTATATGTGACCCTGGAGCACAAAAGCAGTGTTAAGTCGCTGGGGGATATTTGTAGCAATAGCCAACAATACATTGTATGGGTCACAATTATACATTTCTCTTTTATGCCAAAAATCATTAGGATATTAAGTAAAGATCATGTTCCATGAAGATATTTTGTACATTTCCTACCGTAAATATATCAAAACTTAATGTTTGATTAGTAATATGCATTGCTAAGAACTTCATTTGAACAACTTTAAAGATGATTTTCTCAATATTTAGATTTTTTTGCACCCTCAGATTCCAGATTTTCAAATAGTTGTATCTTGGCCAAATATTGTCCGATCCTAAGATCCAATGGAAAGCTTATTTATTCAGCTTTCAGATGATGTATAAATCTCAATTTCGAAAAATTGACCCTTATGACTGGTTTTGTGGTTCTGGGTCACATATGATCTCAGCATGTGAATGAAGTGTGTATTGAAGGCTAAACTCTGTGTGTGTGTGTGTGTGTGTGTGTGTGTGTGTGTGTGTGTTTTAAACTTTAGCAGTTTGAGTGAAAATTATTTCCACTAAATCCCAGTAAATCCTAAACAAATGAATAAATAAAAATGTACTTAAGATCCGTTTGAACTGAAATCGCTTGCCTGTAACACATTTAATTAAACATGATTTATTTTATTTTTTTGTAGAATTACTGAAATAATAATCTTTGTTTTCAAAGGATTTTTCCAAATTGTAAGAAAAACTGAATATTTGCATACATTTTACAAGAAAATTATTTTCAGTCTTTCTACCTAAAAATGTCATGTACAATAATTTTTATTGTTCGGTTTTTTAATGATTTGAAAGAAAGAAAAACAATGACTTCATACTTTCTAATTGCGTCTCTGTAATCACCTTTTCATAAATAATATTGTTGGGTTTGTCCACTACACAGATTTCACTATCTTTAATTAATTTGGTAATTATGTGTATAATTCGTCATTCGTTTGCTGTCCCCAATATTGCTGTCAAACCGAACACTTTAGAGAAAACTGAGTTTTACAAAAATATGTATTTTTTGTTATTATGTAAATGAGAAGTGCTAGGGTCACATTTCTGCCATGGCAGTTCAAAGATCAAAAATGTGACTGATTATTATATGCAGATTTTTATTATGTGTGCTTAACCGGCCAGCCCTTGTGAAATTTAATTCAGAAACAGTTCATTTATTTCTCTCTTTGTAGATTGAGAGTTAAATCTCTGCCAGCTGGCTTGTTTTGTTAGCAAGACTAAGGCTTATCCAAAATCCACGCAATCACACACTGAAACAAAACCAATCCAACATTAGTGAACTTTTAAAAAGAGTACTTATTACAATATACTTCAAAAGAATATACTTAAGTGCAAACCGAATGTAATGTTTTCAGATACTTAACTGCATTTTAACAGCAAATAAATTATAATATATCATAATTTAAATCTATATTAAATACAATTGAACATACAGTTGAACATAAGGTTGAACTTAAGTATGACTTGAGTATATCTTTATATGTAATTACTTCTATTGTCTTTGAACTATAATATGCTTTAATGTCATTTCTATTGAAACTTGTATGTCATGTACTTAAATATTTGTATGTACACATATGTAATGATGAATTTACAATTTAGTAAGTTTAAAATATCTTAACTTTGTAAGGGAAACAGGTCAATTTAGCGCAAAAGGGAACTATTTTTGATTTTATAGGGAATTTGGACAGAATCACTGTTTTACGGCTGATCATGGAGTCGGCCGGCGATTCGTTGAACGAGCCGTATAACATCAATTCTGCAATGGATATGACAATCTAAAATATAGTGAAAACACTATTAATTAGCACAGTAACAAGATCGGCAGTTTAAGACATTAACTTGTAAGCACAAAACACAAGATACTTCTCTTTTCAATATGCATGAGACTTTTTTGGGATAAATCTAAGACAATATATACTAATCTAACACATGAACACACGCATTCACACAAGTTGCAGGAAGAGAGAAAGTGAGGAAAGAATGAGTTTAAGAAAATGAAAATGTGAACCCCCAGGTTTACAGCACTATGTGCAATTGCATAGATCTGAACAACCATCAATCTCTTAATTAACTCTCGCATTGAGTTCCTCAATGAAGTTCAAATTTATATTAAATGCACCAGTTCAGCTAGGATCTGGAGGTACTTGCGTTGCTCGTTTAGGGGGGAACCTCGTTGTTGAAACTTCTTGTTCTCGTTGCAGAAAGGGTTTCTCAAGTTTGTTGATTTGCTGGAAGTTCAGTAGTCATTGAAGTGAAGTCTTGGGAAGCCAATGGTTGGGCGTTGGCTGAAGATGCGGAGTTGTGGGCTGGTTGAAGTTTTGAGGTGGTCACAGACTCTGAGACATGGCGTTGCAGCAAAACTTCGAACACGAAACTCTCAACAGAAAAGTAAATAAACTGAGAAAAAGAAAGAGAATAAGAGTGTGATGAGACTAGATGGCGTTTCTCCTCATGGTTTTAGAGGAGCTGCAGGCATGTAAGCCAGAGCACGCTCAAAGAGCGCTAAAAAGCAGCGGCAAAAAGCATAAAGCAAAAAGCAATGACTAAAAGCAAAAAGCGGCGGCTAAAAGCCGACAAGGCAAACAGCATAATTTGATGGTGTCCTGAGTATTTAAACCGGGCTGTTGGACACATCCCAAATGGTGTCTTGACCAATTAGACACTGTCTTAGCTTGGGATGTTGTATGTTTCTCCTCCCAATACATAAATCAATACGTTACTTTTTCAGTCACATGGTCCGAATTTTCCCGCTCTTGGATAGAAACGTTTAAAGCATGAATTTCAAACTCATACATACCCAACATGCATATAATCCTATAAACTATTCAATAGTTATTCAAAATACATACACAATAAGTGATTAGGACATGGTAGTCAAATGTGTGGGTTACATACATGATATAGAGTTATGCATAGAAGTGAAAGTTGCTCGTAAGTCCTTTTAGCATAATTTCGGTGCATGTATATAAATGTAAAGGCAGTCGCTCTGCCATTCTGTGAACGAAGCAGAGGTCAAAAGGGGACTAGAGGAAATCTTAGTCTGGTTCTTGTCTCATAGGTGGGGGGAAGTCAATCCGAAGAAAGTCTTTAGCTCATGATTACTATCATGGATTTACATGTGATGGTCATGCTGTGCATCTCTTTGACCATCAGTCTTGGTTACTTGCCCCAAACTTGACTATCTCCTTCCTGAGTCGAGATTATCAATAGGTGTTATTTTGTGTTAATGTTGCAAGCTGTTCAAACTGTGGAGTTGGTTGGTTAGGCTTGCTTCAGACTGGCTGGTGCCTGGATCTGGACAGATTTATGACGGTGTCTTGTTATCCTGGGCCTCTTTGTGGAATTTGGCTCCAATCTGATCAAATCTTAAATTGTCTGATTCACTCTGATACCCTACAACTTTAATTGTACTATTGAATGATGCTACTGAATGAGGGATTTTTAAAGTTTGTGATGTTGTGATTCTGTGTTAATGTGTATTCAGGTGGCTCAAGTGGAGAAGTTCAGTGAGAACAGCGGTTTAGGGATCAGTCTGGACATGTGTGCCGGTCGTCACATCCTCCGCTCAGTGCTTCCTGAGGGACCCGTCGGGCGATCGGGAAAAATCTGTAGTGGAGACGAACTGTTAGAGGTAAAACGCATCCATCGCAAACAACCCACCACCAATATGCATCAAAAAATCAAATTAATACTGGAATTTGATCCAATAAGAATTCTCTTCTGCTCACCAAGGCTGCATTTATTTGATCAAAAATACAGTAGAAACAGTATTATCATGAAATATTATTATACATTTAAAATAGCTGTTTTCTATGTGAATATATTGTAAAATGTAATTTTTTTTCCTGTGATGCGCAGCTGTATTTTCAGCATCATTACATCATTACATGTCTTCAGTGTCACATGATCTTCAGAAATCATTCTAATATGCTGGTTTGCTGCTCAAGAAACATTTCTGATTATTATCAATGATGAAAACAGTTTCATATATTTATAAGTTTGTGTGTGTTTGTTCAGGTGAACGGCATTCCCCTCAGAGGAGAGACTCATAAAGAGGTTGTTGACATTCTGAAAGAACTTCCTGTTTCTGTGACCATGGTCTGCTGTAGACCCGCCCCTCTAATGACTGACAGCCAAACTGACCAATCACAGCCAGAGGATGTGGCCATTGATTCCATAGTTCAGGTACATTAAATTGTTCACTAAATGTAAACCTGTTTAGATTTAATATGTGCGATTAATTATGTAAAGATTAATGTACAGTCAGTCTTTTATTAATCTGATTTTATCCATACCAATAAAATTAAAGTAGAATAAAATGTAAAGAATTGTGTATAATAGCTCTAAGTGTATGTTCATTAATACAAGTACTTATAATATTCATTATTATGTTATCATATAGATATCAATAGACCATAATGGAGTATTTTTAGACATTTAATAACCAATGGTTGAAATACCTCCTATAGAAATCTTTATAATATTTAAGTTTATTTAGAAATGAAATAATACTAAATAATTAAATAGTAAAATTGTTTAATTAAATACTTTATTCATTAAATTATAAGAAATGTATTAAATTATTTAATTAAATTATTTATAAATTAAATTATTTACAATAAAAATAACATCCATTTAAATAACTAATGGTGAAAGAACACTTCATTTCCCCAAATGCTCAAATTTATCCCACATTCTTTATTACTTAACAAGTAGTTTTCCCTGTAAATATTATAAAAGCGCTGAGTATTCGAATTGTTGTTAATCAAATCAGATGTAATTTATTGAATCAAAACTCACTTAGTAGTGAACCAAATTGGCCCGCTGTCAACCTAAATCTGTTTTATAATCATTGTTTTGCAGTGATACATTTATTGTTTTCCATGAGCATGTTAAACGAGCCTGAGTGGTTCAGTCAGACTTTCCTTTGTTGGGATTATATCAGATTACAGTGCACCATTATAATCTCTGAACATCTCGAGTCGCTCTGAGAGGACAGACCTTCATGCTCAAATGCATTCCATGGGTTAGCTATCAATAAAAGCTGTACATTTTGCATCCACCCTGTTACATATGCTAAAGTAAGGTGATGTCTTATGCTTCTGAACAATTATTAGGGATTTTATTAGAATGAAACGTTTTGTTCATCTCGCTTGTGTAGGTGCCGGGTGAGTTTGAGGATTTCCTGGTCTCTGGTGAATTAGAGGACAGCCTGAAAGATCATGTGACTAAAGAGCCCACTGGAACGCCGTTAGCGATGTGGGAAACAGAGATACAGGACATTGAACTAGAGAAAGGAGAGAGCGGACTGGGCTTCAGCATTCTGGATTATCAGGTGGGAGAGTGGGAGGAGCGTTCTAAATTTAGACCACCACATATGAATGGGAGGAGCACTTTATCTATTCATTTATTTATTTTTCACACACTCGTGTGTTTGTCCAAGGTCAGCCCTTGTGCTGGGCTAGGTTCCCGTGTGTAGTGATTCCCTTTCAGGTGATCCCACATGTGTATTCTTCCACGGTACATGCTTCCCTCACGGTGAGCCTGTGTAATCTCCACATAATACCTCCTATACGCAGGATGTGGCTTCCGTAGCGTTCCCCAACTCGGGTAACTCATGCAAACTTTTCCTCAGCGAAAAACTGAATGTGCGACTGCACGCGCTCTCCTTGTATACCCGCGCTGCGTGGCAGGGTGAGCGACGCAAAGCTCGCACACCAACACTTATTGGCTTGTTTTGTTAACACTCTAAGTTAATTGGGCTCTCTGGCGAGATCCCCGATTCGTCAGTCACTGACGTAATGTCTCCGTTCCCTCCTTCAGGGAATGACGGTCACATACGTAACCAATACGTTAGTTGACATGTAGTTGCAAATTAATGGGAGTTAGTCGACATGTAGATGAAAATTAATTTGAGTTAGTCGACATGTAGTTGCAAATTAATGGGAGTTAGTTGACATGTATTTGCAAATTAAAGCTGCAGTCCATAACTTTTTTTGGTTACAAATTAAACGAAAACAATTTTTGAGCAAGTACATAACCAGCCAGTGTTCAAAACTATAGCCTTACTTTAGCCCGACTCACAACGGTAAGCTTATAATAATGTTTTCTAATTTGAGTGGTACTGGTAGGAATTAATGGGAAATTTTAGCATGTTGCCGCGCCATTACGTCTGTAAACATAAAGATTGAGTGCTAGTAGGCTATCGCGTGTGAAGATGCTGCAGGTGGCGGATCATTTATAGCCTTTTCTTACAGCAGCTGGAATAATTAAATGTATCATTTTGATGGCGTATTGTAATCCAAAAAGGTTTATGTGTTTATGAAACACAAGTGACTGAAATTAAATTATACTCCAGTTTTAAATGTGCATCTGATTACAGATATGTGGGATTACACAAATGTTGTGTTTTAAAGAGAACCAGTTCTAAAGAATAATTTGCTTTTTGGGTTAAAATAGTTTCTTTATATGAAATTCGAGTGGTATGACAATTAGAGATTATACTGTACAGAAATTGAAATCTACATGAAGCGTTACATACACGTAGTCACGCAATGCTGATGTTGTTAACATGAACAATTTGAGAAAAAGTATAACAGTAATAATAAATTGTGGTTTGATTTGATATGAGCTAATTAACCGATCATTAGATTTAATCACCATTGTAGCGCGATTTATTGTAATGCATTTTTCCTCAGTTGGTCAGAACAAAAGTGGCAGACTTGTTACTTGCTGTTCGGATGACAATATTTGGTGAAAATTCTTATTTTTGTCACATATTCCTAGACGTAGGCTAGAATATGTGATTCCTAAGTACGGTATCCACACTGGTGTGGTGACTGACAGCCACACATACTCCTCAAAACATTAGATTTATCCGCACGCTGGAGCCAAGCTGGTGCGCAACCCACGCAAGGAAGATAATTCTGTAAATAACTGCAATTGCAGGTTTCAAACAGAGATGGCGACAAAGAGACAAAACTTACAGACTGCAGCTTTAATGTGAGTTAGTTGACATGTAGTTGCAACTTAATGAGAGTTAGTTGACATGTAGTTGCAAATTAATGGGATTTAGTTGACATGTAGTTGAAAATTAATGCAAGTTAGTTGACATGTAGTTGCAACTTAATGAGAGTTAGTTGACATGTAGTTGCAAATTAATGGGATTTAGTTGACATGTATTTGCTAATTAATGAGTTAGTCCACATGTAGTTGCAAATTAATGTTAGTCGACATGTAGTTGCAAATTAAAGAGAGTTAGTTGACATATAGTTGCAAATTAATGGGATTTAGTTGACATGTAGTTGAAAATTAATGCAAGTTAGTCGACATGTAGTTGCAAATTAAAGAGAGTTAGTTGACATATAGTTGCAAATTAATGGGATTTAGTTGACATGTAGTTGAAAATTAATGCAAGTTAGTCGACATGTAGTTGCAAATTAATGAGGGATAGTTGAAATGTAGTTGCAAATTAATAAAAGTTAGTTGATATAAATTGGAGTTATCTGACATGTAGTTGCAAATGAATGTTAGTCTAAACGTAGTTGCAAATTAATGCGAGTTAGTCAACATGTAGTTGCAAATTAATGAGAGTTAGTTGACATTTGAAAATTAATGAGAGTTAGTTGACGTACTTGCAAATGAATGGGAATTAGCTGACATGTTGCAAATTAACAGGAATTAGTTGACTTGTAGTTGCAAATTAACGGGAGTTAGTTAACATGATGTTGAAAAGTTACTTATAGCTAGTAAAATGTCTAAAGAGGCCTACTGAAATAAAGTAAAACCAATCATGTTAATGTTATACTCACTTTGCGTGTGTGTGTTCATATGTGTACAGGACCCAATGGACCCGCTCAAGACAGTAATAGTGATTAGGTCGTTAGTTCCCGACGGCGTAGCAGAGCGAGACGGACTCTTGTTGCCAGGAGACCGTCTCATGTATGTCAACAACATCAACCTGGAGAGCGCCAGTTTGGAGGAAGCAGTGCAGGCTCTGAAGGGAGTGAACATGGGCACCGTCCGCATCGGGGTGGCCAAACCCCTGCCCGTAAGAAATACTATCCTCTAGTTTCTAAAGCAGCTTTTTTCTCTGTACAATTTTGTGTTATTGAAACCCGTGGCTGCAGTAACGGGATTCCTTTGCAGGTTCTTTGAATATTTCATGAAGCGGGTCTGTAGTCCTTTAAGGCCTCAGGAAATGAAATCTTCTTGGAGGAGCGTGTCTGTATCTTTGTGAAGAGCTCTCAGGGGCTGTAGTTTATCTTAACCTCTTCAACTTTCCAAGGCTGTTATCTCGGCTGCATTATTATGGGATTGTGTGCACATTTTGGCATCTTTCCTTCTTTTTCTCCTCCGATGCCTTGAGGTTTTGGAGCGTGCGGTGGGTTGTCAAGTTTAGTGCAGGTCATCTGATCAGGCCTTTTTTTTCTGAAGATTTAATCTCACGAGAGGCCTTTAGACTGCATGAGCATGCAGACGCTTTTGTTCTGCTCTCTCAAGAGCGATAGGGTAACATCACCTCTTAATATGGTTCAAATGACACACTTCCAAGAAGCGGAATGAAAACGGAGAAAGCATTTCTTCCTATTTACCTTTGCACATCAAATCTTCAACGTGATCATCTGTTTTAATGATGCCAAAATCAACAAACAAACGATTCAGCTCGCTAACCAACCTTGCACTACTAACATGCAAAGTGATTTCTAACCAAATCAAATCACATTCAGTCTTTTATTGTGATCTTGGGCTGGGTGTTATGATGAAATGAGATTCTGCTGTAGCACAGTAAATATATATCTTTACAGCATCAGTATGCAGGACCGCTTTTGCATTATTGCATAAAGCATCATAAAAACAAAAAACAGTGTGAAAATACAGAGTAGACTTGTCTCAAACAATTCAAGATGTTTATGCTACTGTTTATATAGTACATTTCAGCAAACTGAATAATGAGTGATTTCAACCAATTAAAATCAACATACATAATATTTTAAATTTAAAAGAGAAAATGCAGTTATATGCTGCCATATATTTATTTATTTGATATATTTTTAAATGAATTTTTTTTTTTTTGTGTGGAAGAATATTTACACAGCTCTTTACCATAAAATTATTTTCTGAAAAAGATGTCAACATTTTAAAAGACTTTAAAAAAAAAAGAAGTAGAAATCATTCTAATATGCTGATCTGCTGCTCAAGAAACATTTCTGATTATTATCAGTGTTGAAAACAGTTGTGCTGCACAATATTTTTGTGGAAACTCTGATATTTTTTTATTTATTTCAGGATTCTTTGATGAATAGAAAGTTCAAAAGAACAGCATTTATTTGAAATATAAATCTTTTTTTAACATTATAAATGTCTTTACTATCACTTTTGATCAATTTAATGCAATAAAAGTATTGTTTTCCTTAAAGAATAATCTTTCAGACCTCAAGCTTTTCTAAGTATATGGAATTTATACAGTTGCCATGTTAAACAGTTCCTCATTCTGGTCATAACACCCAGGCTTAGTGTGATCTGCTCATCATCAGAGAATGAACATGTTTAGAGAGGTGACACTTCCCTGTCTTCACAGACTGAGGATGAAGATGGCTCTTCCTCCTTCATCTTCTCGGCTCTGCTGCTGATGGAGGGCTGTGATGAGGATGAGGAGGATGAAGCTGTGTTCCGTGCTGAGCCTGCAGTGGTCAGTGCTCATAAAACACAACCAAAGCATTCTTCTGGAAAGCATGTTATTAGTGCAACGTTCTGTAGGAGCAACGATATATCAGCGATTATAAGAGGCAGACACTGTTTTTTGGGGGGGAGGTGGGGTGAAAAATTGCAATCAATTGAAGAAAAAAAAGTATTATGACATAAGTGGTCTTTGTTTGCTTTAAGTAAAGTAACATAATTAACATGGCAAGATATGAGACTTATAATACATTATAACTATGAGAAATATAATCCATTGTAACTTAAGTGGATGCAACATGTTCTTGTGTTCTATAAATCATCATACTCTTAAAAGCTATAACCATAAATAAGTAAATATCATAATACATTCAAATTGTTCTTATGAATATTCATGAGATGATTTCAAAAGTTTTTTTTATAATGCATTATGCATTCATTATAATACCTTAAGAATACCCGTATAAGGTATTATAAATACGGGCTTCATAGAAAGTGTTACCAATTTTTTTTATTTTTCATTAAAAAATGTACAATATATACATTATTTTGGAGAATTATTTTATGGTAAGTAGCTGTGTAAATTCAATATTCTTCAAAAATGACTTTGCAATATTCTTTCTGAACTTCAATTTCAATTCATGTTCAATGATACCATGCGTGTCTCTTGATAAGATTAGATTAAAATTGCAATTTTTCAGCACTCTGCACCTAACCACTCACAACACGGATACTGTGCAGATCTTAAACTATGTCAACATATGATATAGTCCATTAATATGATGTTCATTGTAATGTATAATGTATATAATGTATAATGTACATTACCCTTATAATGTATTCTAAATATGGGCTTCATAGAAAGTGTTACCAGAAATGTTAGTCCAAGCTTAGCATGTGATGCACGTGGAATGAAATGAGAACTTCCCACAATATTTATTTATTATTATTTTTATTTTTTGTGGAACTCAAAAAGACACATATTGAAGAATAATTAGACATCCCTTTACCATACAATTATATTCCAAAAAATATTGCACTTTTTTTTTGTCTTAACAGCTATATGTCAGCATTTATAAGCACCATTTTTGGGATGAATAAATTAACATTTTAGTCCAAGATAAGCAAGATACACATGTGGCATCATTGAAAATGTAATAAAATTGAAGTCTGATTTTTGGGGGGTTATCCTATCAAACAATGTGAAATGTAGCACATTTTTTGTAGCCTTTAGAAAACTATAATTTCTCTGATGTTATGTCCAGATCGACTCCAGTGATTTGGACCTGTCTGATGAAAAGGCATTTGAGCGTCATTTTCTGGAGGAGGAGGAGGAAGAGATGCTGCAGTCGATGATCGCTGAACACGGCAGTATCTGCAGCGCTGATCTGACCTATCAGAAGAACAGACCCGCCTCCTCACCGAAGGTGAACAGAGTCAGCAACCAATCAGATTCAAACATAAACATTTCATGCCCAATCAAATGATATCTTAAACTTGGCTTACACTGACCAATCAAATACAGCCTTAAATTATTTAGTAAACCTACACAGATTTAGTCAACTGTTTTATCTTTCACCGCCCTTGTGAAAAATAAGCATATTTTTAATAACAGTACTTAAATACAATTAGCTGAGTGTTTTTCACCCACTTGAGTACATATTTATACTGTATGTAATTTCATAATTACTTCTATTGTCTTTGAAATATGGTTAAAGTACTGCTGAATGTACTGACAAGCATTTATGATCAACTAAAATATACTTTAATATAATTTCTATTGAAACTTGTGTGTCATGTATTTAAATTTATAATGATGAAGTTGCAATTCAGTACATTTAAAATACTGTACATTAAACAATTTAAATGTAATATCGACTAAAAGTTAAAATGATAATCAAGTACTTTCCATGTGCTTTAGTATGTTAGCCTACACATCAAAATAAGTGTACTTCTTTAAAACACCATGAAAGATTATTAAAACACAATGTGTATTTTAATGTACTTTAAATTAAAACTTTTAATTTGGCATTAATACAAAGGTCACTTTTTAAAAGTGTACTTAAGTGTGTTAAGAAACAGTCATGAGAGTGTCTCTCTTTAAGTCACTTACGTGGGCTTTTATTTCATTAATATTGTATTAGCTGTAACTACAGATTTTGTAAATGCATTTAATGCATTTCTTTTCCACCGATGTAACAGTTTTAGAAGAATGTTTTTTGACATAAAAAAATTGTTAATAATAATAATAATAATAGCATTTTTAAATTTGATCAGAACAATTGCAATTATATTTTTTCCCAAATCGTGCTGGCATCAAACTGAACCCTCTCAGAATACCTTTATATTAGACCCTCAGAATCCCGCTCATCCTGCTGACCTCTTTCTTCTCTCGCTGTCCTTGACTTCAGTCTTTGATGAGGATTCTGACCTTTTCTCCTCTCAGGAGGAGGATTTGCTTCCAGACAAACCGGCGGACGAGACCCAGCAGCTAAACGGCGCTGCGGCGAGCAGCTTCGAGAGGACCATCACTGTGGTCAAGGGCACCTCCAGTCTGGGTATGAGAACGTGTTCGTCAAACAGAAGCACACTTTAGTACGCTTTTAAAAAGGAAATAATATACTTTTAAAAGAATAGGCTGAATGTAATGTTTTCAGACACTTAATTGCATGTTAATTGCAATTAAATAAAAATTTATTACAGTTTAAATTTATATTGAATGCAGTTAGTTGAACTTTAGAGTGATTTTGACTCACTTACATAGGACTTCACTTTATATGTAATTTCTAGGAGTTATATGTATTTTTTAAGTTATATGTAACTTCAGTTCAGACTACATTTACTGTAATGTTAATTGTCAATGTTTACTCATTTGATCAAACTGAGTATTGATTTAAAAATAGAATATAATTTTTTATATATATATATATATATATATATATATATATATATAATTAAGAGAGGCCTCGGTATCGGTATCGGTATCTGTGATTTTTGCTTTCATTTATAGTACTTATTTAAAAGATGCCATTATACAGAAATGTAAAATATCAATATTTAATTATATTATATTATAATATAAAGCAATTTTTATAATATAAAAATGTTTGTTTCTACATTCATTTGGAGGCTCAGTGTGAAAATATATTTATGATTATTAGTTTTATTTATTAATTGACAGCACTAGTAATTTCTTAAATACTTGACTACTAAAATACTAAAACACCGTCTACTTTAATATCATATCAATTGAAAATATTATTAAAACATAATTTAAAATGCACTTTAAAATAACACTTTTATTTCATTAATATTATATTTTCTGCAAGTGCAGTCTTGTGCAAAGGTAAATGTGACCTCACTTTAAAACAGGGCCGTATGAAGGGAATATTTCTCGCTGTATGCATGCAGCAGGTGATGTGATGAGAGGTTTTCCCCAGCCGCTGATTTCACTAATGATTGTGATGTGGATTTGGCCGTGGGATCGTGCAGAAGCAGTTTGGGATGGTTTTATCCCGGAGCAGCAATTCAAAGCCGTCTGCTTTGCCCATATATGCTATTAGGATATTAAAATTTCAGCTGAGGGAAATCTTGCATTCCTGTGAGTCTGCTTAACAGCGCTTTAGATCCACACTCGGCTTTACCGTCACAGGTGTTAATGAACTCCCATTCTTGATCTAGAAGACTGCAAATTAAAATGCATTTAAGTTCCTGGCAGATGATTTTTTACATCCACTACTAAGTGCTCCTCACGGTAGACCAAGATAACCATGCGGTACTCTAATAAACATAAATATATGCAGGTAAATCAGTTAATTTTACATTTCACTTTAGCTATAGTGTACCGATACTGATACCGATACTCTGTAGGAACTATGTGCAGAGGTTCATAATCCACTCTATAATGTACTTCATTTATATATTATATTATATATTAATATATAGTATATTAGTAATCAATGTTTGAAATGCTACCTATATAATTTTGTACTTAATTTGACTAAAAAATGCAATTAAAAAAAATTTATATACTCAAATATCAAGTCTAAAATAAATGTAATGTAAATGTAAACAAATAAGGCAATAAATAGGCATCATAGGTTAAAATATAATGTATAGTCATAAAATTGTTGCTGTGTTGAATTTATTTGAATTGTGGGTTAGTAAAACCTTCCCGTCAATTACTTCAAATTCTAACCCCAATTCTAATTTGTGGTTTTATTCATCAATTAAAACTAATAAAAATATTTTTGTTAATTGAAATGAAGCTTAAAAAAATTAAATATAAGTTTTATATGAAAAACTTAAACTAAAAAAATATAATAAAAAATTAAAATTTGAAAAGTTGCTTTGGCAATTAAAAATATTAACAAATAATAATTAAAATGTATGTAATACTAAATTAACGCTGATTGCAATAGGGTGCATGGCCAATTCAATTCACCTTTCTTTGTAATGACAGCAATGTGATTTTCCATGAAAATTTGCATCTTTATTTTCAATAAATATCAGATCATATTTACAAAATGTCCAATAATAAATTCCAGCATCTCTTAAACATAGTTTATTAAATTGTGCTGGTTTAAGATGACTTAGAAAATGATATTGCTCCACAAACACTTATGAAGACATTTTTAGGGTCAACCTTGAATGCATTATAGAATTTTTTTATCCAAAGCAAATTTTAGAAACCGTATATTGGTTTTTTAATTTACATTTCTTGCCATGAAAACAGCCAAGGAAGCTGCGTGGCATTAAAACGTCCGGTCGCATGTGTTGCAGGAATGACGGTGTGTGCACTGAAGGACGGGCCCGGGATGCTGATCCGCAGCATCATTCACGGCGGCTCCATCAGCAGAGACGGCCGGCTCGGGGTCGGGGACCTGATTCTGGCCATCAACGGAGAACCGACGGGAAACCTGACCAATGCTCAGGCGCGAGCCATGCTGCGCAGACACTCTCTGATCGGACCAGACCTGGGGTGAGATGCTCAAACACACACACACACACACACTCACACTCATACACACACACAAACACACACACACACACACACACACACACACACAGAGACACATTTTTAGGGTCAACCTTGAATGCATTATAGAATTTTTTTATCCAAAGCAAATTTTAGAAACCGTATATTGGTTTTTTAATTTACATTTCTTGCCATGAAAACAGCCAAGGAAGCTGCGTGGCATTAAAACGTCCGGTCGCATGTGTTGCAGGAATGACGGTGTGTGCACTGAAGGACGGGCCCGGGATGCTGATCCGCAGCATCATTCACGGCGGCTCCATCAGCAGAGACGGCCGGCTCGGGGTCGGGGACCTGATTCTGGCCATCAACGGAGAACCGACGGGAAACCTGACCAATGCTCAGGCGCGAGCCATGCTGCGCAGACACTCTCTGATCGGACCAGACCTGGGGTGAGATGCTCAAACACACACACACACACACACTCACACTCATACACACACACAAACACACACACACACACACACACACACATGCAGAGACTCACACACACACACACACACACACACACACTCACAGAGATTCACACACACTCACAGAGATTCGCACACACACACACACTCACATAGATTCACACAGACACATACACATGCACACACACATGCAGAGATTCACACTCACACTCACACACACACACACACACACACACACACTCACAGAGATTCACACACACTCACAGAGATTCGCACACACACACACACTCACATAGATTCACACAGACACATACACATGCACACACACATGCAGAGATTCACACACACACACACACACATGCAAAGATTCACACACACACTCACAGAGATTCACACATACACATGCACACACACACACACATGCAGAGATTCACACACACACACACTCACTCACACACATACACACACACACATTCATTCTGAAAACATAGCAATAAATTACAGTTTACTATATATTCCCATAGAAAACAGAACAGTTATTTTCAATTGTAATAATATTTCACAATTTGACTTTACTTTTGATCAAATAAATACAGCCTTGGTGAGCAGAAGAGACCTTTTTAAAAAACATTACCCACTCCAAACTGTACAGTCGGTGTATCTAGCTTGTCAGCCAGGGTTACATTTCGGTGGCACTTCAAGCTTGAGTCGTTCCAATGGAAGAAAAATCCATTATAATGGAGTTTATGTACAATCAGGGCATATTTTAAGGGTGCTGCCAATTCAATAGAGCCGTCAACCTCAGCAGAACTCAGGATTTACGTTCACAATAAAAGGTGAAACAGACAGTCATAAAACAAGGCTTATCAGTGCCCAGCGGTGATCCAGAGCTTGTTCTAGCTGCAGTGAGTCGCTTTATTCTGCCTCCCGCTGCCAGCGGCGTCTGTGTCCGTAAACTGCTCTTCACGTTTCCAGATCCACAGGTGCTGCGGGGGAAGAGCTGAGCCCCGTCTCTGTGTGAGTACTGCCTTCATCACGCTGTCTGTCCTCGCTCCCTGCTTGCATTCGTTTTGTTCTGTCGCTGCAGAGGTTTTGGAGGATATGATTGTTCGGGCCGCCCGCAGCCCTGCTTCCATTCTCCTCTAATCGCAAAGACTGGAAGCAGTTCTGTCCTCATTTACTCACCCTCACGTCAGTCCAAACCTGTGTGAGCTGCTTTCTTCTGCTCAATGCATTATTGGGTCCTTTCTGTTCTGCAGTACCTTTTTGTGTACCCTACTTTAGTTAACATGAACTAAGAATGAGCAACACTTCTACAGCATTTATTAATCTTAGCTAATGTTAATTTCAACATTTACCAATGCATTATTCAAATCAAAAGTTGTGCTTGTTAACATTAGTTAATGTGCACTGTGAATTAACATGAACTAACAGTGAACGACTGTATTTTCATTAACTACCATTAACAAAGATTAATGTTAAAATACAGGAATAATCAATTAAATAATAATAATAATAATCAGTGTTGTATATAATATTATACACAAAGATATACTGTTGGAATTAGAAAGCAGTAAAAACTTTTATAATGCTAAAAAAAGATTTCTATTTCACATAAATGCTGTTACAATTATTAAACTATTATTATTAAAATATTAAGCAGCACAGTTGTTATGAACATTGATGAAATACTGAAGCCTGGAGTAATGGATGCTGAAAATTCACTAATCATTTATACTAATGACAGTAATTACATTTTTCGAGAGAGTCAACCTACAAATGGCTTCCTTGTGGCATACTTGTAGGTTTATCTTCACATTAAGCTGCGATGGGATATATTAAGGTAAATTTGAATTGTACTGCATAGTAGGTTTGACCCTACTAATGTAAAACACTCATTCCAGTCAAACTCAAAGATGCTGCGCTTCCTCATCAAGCAGCGTTTGAGCAGGTTGTTGTTTCCTTGGTAACATGCATTCGTGTTCTCAAGAGGCTGTCGTTCATCGTTAACATTTCAGGCCGTCGTTTCCTCCTAACATGGTGTGTATTGTGTTGCTCATCTTTGACTAACATCTCTCTCATGTCAGTGATTTGATTTCCAGCCATCGATTGTCATTCATTAATGAAGCGTTTTCACTGAACATGTGGATAATGAATATTTGATTCACATCGATGTGCCGTGACTCCTAATGTCTTGATCTCTCCGCCTGCATGCATGAATTGTTCAAAACAAGGTTTGATTTTCCTCCATTAGATCTGTCATCTTCACTTACAGTCAACTGATGAAGCAAACAAACTATTTCTGTTTTGACTCCTGATCCGGAAACATGAAAATTCAAGCTAAATTATCAGGCTCGCTGTTGAGTCAGATTTTTTTTGGTTTGAATTTTTGGATGCAATGCAATGCAAAAAAAAAAATGTCTTGTTGTGGGGCATTCATTTACTAACCTGTAAAACACCGGCTGCTGTTGACAATCACATGATTGATGAATGATTTCACCTTGGGCAGACTATATCACATATATTACCCACTTCAGAAAAACAAGATGTGCATCAATGCCAGTTTAGCTCAATTGAATGCATTTGTTGCATAATGTTGATTGACTCACTTTTGCATTTTTGGAAACTATTTTCTGTGGCCATTAAGTCACAAATGCTGTTGATTGAGTTTAAGTTGGGAGATTCCTTTGGAGTTTGATTCCGCCAGTGTTGATGACAGGTCTGATGAGTCAAATGTCATCATAGCTTATGAATCTTATGATTATGTGTGTGCAGAATCACGTATGTTCCTGCAGAATATTTAGAGGAATACAGGGCGAGCCAGCAGCTCCAGAGTGATGATCTCTCTGATGGCAAAAACAACACTCAACAGTACGTACTTCACTCACACTTCATCCTGTCAGCTCTCATTGACTCGTAGAGCTGTAAAATGGACATGAAATGAGAGCTTTGTGTTTGTGTGTTTAGTCAGACGGCCTCAGATCTTCCAGAGAGAGAAGATGGAGAGGGACAGGAGAGTGAACGACAGACAGCAGCTTCCAACAGCTGGAATCTAGCAAGGAGGTGAGGACAGATCAATAAGTTGCATGTGATTGAAAAACATGGGCATATCTATTAGGAACCGGTTTCTGTTAGTATTCTTATTATACTTCCTCATTGGAGCCAAATTTGGTGCGTTCATTAGGGAAGGTCTGAACATCAATCTGACCAATTTTGGGCACTCTGACTCGAACCCTCTAGGGCCACCGTAAGTCTAAAATTGGGCTTTTCATATAATTGTATGACCTATTTACAGTCTTCAGATTTTTGATGAAATATGCTGTGTGCTATAAACAGATTATTTATTTATTTATTTTTGAAACAGACAAAAAATATGTTGATAATACATATAATATATAATATATATCCATCCATTCTCCAAACTACATGTCTTATGAAGGATCACATACATTTTGCATTCGCAAATGTATTTTCTTGCTCCTTTAAGTACATTTGCAAATATATTATGATATCCGAAGGCTTAAAAAATTTATTTTGTAATTTTTTTGTTCTGGCCAAAATATATTTTTAAAATATGCTACATATATGTTGTAAACCATGCAGGTTAATATGTACTGTCAATTATTTTTTTAACAAAATACTATATATATATATATATATATATATATATATATATAAATTTTTTTTTTATATTTTTTTTTCATGAGGCAAGCATGAGACGATTTCGTGTGTGTTCGTTCACCTGATCGGGAAGTTGCAGTGACAGAAACTGTGACATTCCAGATAAAGTTTGAAAGGAGTAAAGCCTGTGTTAATGCTATTGAGAAAGTTTAAATTGAACAGTTATTGCTGACAGCCTAAAATAGAGATGAACAATCAGTATTTTAGTATCGCTGCAATACCTTTTCATTAATTGTTTTTATTATTATTTTGATTAAAAAAAAATATTAGTAATTTTTTTGTGTTGTCATTTTTATTTTGTAATTTTTTAAAATATGCATATGCAATTTTTATATATGCAGACATATATATATATATATATATATATATATATATATACAATTTATTTATTTATTCATTTTTGCCATATGGATAGTGGCACATATTTATCAAAAATGATTAAAAAAAAATTTAATAAATAACTTGGCCTAAATTTAAAACTCTGGATTTTCATTGCCATTTGTTGTTTTAAACCTGTCCTGCATCTTTCATCAGATCTTCCCCTGATTTTGGCCTGATAATAAGAGACTCAGCTGGCAAAAATATTATCACAAGGAACAACGTTGACTGAAAATGGCCATCAGATGTGGCACTTTATACATTCATATTTTTCTCACCAAATATTGTCTCAGTATTGGATCAAATATTGGATTTTCAAACCATGCCTGACCGAAGTTATTGAATGTTTTGAATACTGAATATTGAATTGAATCAAAAGGTTTTGAATCAAATCCCGCATGGCACTGAATTTGAACCTCTGGTACAAAATGTTAGTTCCTCTTCAGGAACTCGAGCTGCGTCGACAAACGCTAGGGGAACGCCTTCCGCGATCCACGCTCTGAATCGTATGTGAAATCAGTCCAATAGCTGAACGGGACGTCACGGCGGATGACGTCATGACCAGGAAGCTATAAAAGCACGTGCGGCGGAGCCCGCGTCAGCTTTCTGTCATTCAGCGAAGCGCTCTGTGTGTGTCAGTCATATTTATTGTTGTCTGTCTATTTTCGGTAAAAGTCTTATAAGCAGCTATGTCTAAAGCCCACGCTAAGACAAAGCATGCAAAGGGGTGCAAGCCACGTTATAGGTTGTGTGTTCCTCCCTGCCCACGTTATATCACGAGTGGGGATACACACAGCCTGTGCGTGGTTTGTTTGGGAGCAAAGCACGCAGAGTCGGCTCTTGAGGGGGCCGGCTGCCCGCATTGCGAGCGCCTCCCACTGCGTACGCTTCGCTCCCGGAGGGCTCTCTTTGAGGAGGGAGCCTTCGCCAGCGTTCCTCGCGGTGCTGGCCCCGCTTCCGTCGAGTCGGAGCGGCGGTTGCATTCGTGGGGTTCGCAGTTGGATCTGGCGGAGGGAATGGAGACGGGCGAGTCCCTATCTCCTTCCTCACCCACCGGATCCAGTGCCCGATCTCTGGGTTCGGAAGCCCGTTCTGCGGCTACTTCCTCCCGGGGTGGCGGCTCGACACTTCTCCTGTCTTCCTCCGAGGAGGTTGACGTGGAGGGCGTCGAAGAGGTTTCCCCCCCTCAATCACCCCAGTATGAGGAGCTAGTGGAGGTGCTTACTCGTGCCGCGGCCAAGTTAAGAATCGATTGGCCCGCCGAGAAGCAGGCCGAGCCGCAGCGAAGTAAGCTTGATGAACGCTT